TTTGCAGGAACGGAGTTCGTGCGGCCCGTTGTCGGCTACTTCTGCAAGCTGTGTCAGCTGATCTTTGCCGACGAGGACGAGGCCATGCTGCAGCACTGCAGCAGCACAGCACACTACAGGAGATACCAGGTTAGCACGGAAACCAGCAGCTCATATTATAGCCACGTTAATGTCTGTGGCTTCAAACTGAAACGTTCTGTCCTGTGGTTTTTTTCAGGAGCAGACGGGGAAAGATCCGTCAGCGATGTGAAGCAGAAGCTCTTCACGGAGTCAGGAACCGAGCCGTTGTCTTTCTAAAAGGCTTAAGGAGGCTTATGAAGAAGCCACACCAACTCCTGAGTCCTTCCTCTGAAGAAGCAGCTTTAAAGACCATGAAGAACTCAGATGCCACATTTGAGGAAACAAGTTTATTTTCTAAAACATAAAAATACAGTAAAGACATGTTCAACGTTTCAGGAATAATGGACAAAGCCTGAAGTGAACCTGCTGGAATTAAAAAAAACAAAACGAAAGTCCTCAAATGCCTCGTTTTATTGGAAGATTTTCAGTTTTCTGTCATAGAGGAGGGGAAAAAAATCATATTTAAGAAGCTGTAATCACAGAATTTAGACTGTTTTCCTTTTGTTATTGAATGAGTTCATCTGTTTAAACTCACGGATGTTTTCTCCGTCCTGTGATGTTGGTGACAAAGAAAATACCCAGTAATAGTCATTACTGATGAAAATAACAATTCATTTCAGACCTAATAGTTTAATACCAGAAGTTTTATTACTGTCAGAAAATGTCTCGTCTTGTCCAAAGGTGTTCAGTTTCCTGTTAAACTAGAACATTTTTACATTTTAAAAGCTGCAATCAGAATTTAAATTGTTTAACAAAAGAGGTGGTCATTAAAAAAACAAACACAGCTTCACTCGCAGGTAAACACATGAGACGGTATTTAAGCTACATGTTGCAACTCTTCCTGATGAAATATCCTTCCACCAGTGGCCTTAAAGTCACTGTACAGGTGGATGGATACGCTATCAGGAAATAGTTCCACACAACAATATGCTAGCTGCTTTCAGGCCTTATGCTAAGCTACGCTAACCGTGGACCTTCCCAGAATGCTGAACTGCTCCTCCCATCGTCACAGCGAGACAAACAGATCGATAATGGATTGAGAACACTTCGACGCCTTCAGCTGTCGGTTGAACCAACAAGACGTTGGATTCAGAACCAGTAATCAATCAGTACTTTGTTACATCAGCAGGACTTCTTCTGAAATTTAAAAGGACAAAACGGTCGATGATGAAAATTTAAAATTCTGTTAATTCAGATCGATTTATTGATCAGTCGTTCCAGGTCTTTGGGTTTTTAAATGCTACTGTGACACTTTTTTTTT